CCAACGTTTTTTTCTACTATACCTCAAAAAAAAACAAAAACAATGGTATAAATAGTAAATTTTAAAATGATCGCAAGCATTTTTCATGTTTGCAATGAGATTTCGTCAATTTTGTACATTTTTAAATACTGCTAGTAAATTTTGGTTAGTAAGTTTCTGAAATCATTTTCAAGACTTTCTTGGAATTTTAACCCATAGAATAACGGAGGTTGGTTGTATACCTATTATGCCTGATTAAGAGTAATTTGGGTAAGGGATTAGGTGGTGGAATAAAAATTAATTTTTGTATACCTTTTATTGTACTATGAAAACCAAAAAAAATTTTTAAAAATGACTCGAAATTGTTATGTATATCACATAAAAATACAAATGAGTCATATTGACTCGCTCTTTCATTTAGTGTTTAATACTTTGCAGATTGGCATGTATCAAAGAGTCTTTGATAAGTACAAAGTCTATTAAATTAGTATTGATCGTTCAGGTGTACATGATGTCCAAGTCGTACTAGGAATGGTCATAATTTCTTTAAATCTCAAGGTTGCATTGAATGCTTTTAACTTCCAAACAACGTGAGATGTGCTTTCTCATTTTTTGCAGGACAAGTTCAAGTATTTTTTAGGTTCAATACTATCATCCCGTATCGTCTTGACTTAAGTTCTCTGAGACCCTGTACAATAGGCTTGAAAGGTCAAATAGTAGACAATTGCACAACAAACTGAATTTATTTCCATAATTAATATCAATTAGACAATGATTATTGTATTTAGTATTTTCTTATACCATTTTTAATGCGGTCTCAAATTATAATTTGAGAGTAAATTTGAAAGAGATTAATTATTATTTTTGAATTAATATTTGACAATTTGAGTTGTCTATTTGATGTAAGAAGAATTTATTTAACGATTTTTATAAAATTGAGAGAAACAATTCATTCTAAATATGATACCTAATACGTTTTTCTGATAAAAAGGTTTTTAAGATTCAGGCAGAATTTTAAAATTATTTTGATTGTCAATATTTAGGTATCAAATTTAAAATGAATTGTTTTTTTTTATATTGTAGAAATTGAGTTAAATTGTTCATTATCAAATAGATAACTCAAGTTGTCGCATAACACATCATTGGCTCCCCAATTTCAATTTTCAATCAAATCTAGTCAGACTATTTTTATTGAAGTAGATATTGTTAACACACTCTTTTTACCTTCTTTAATTCATCTACGACAAAAAAATGTCTGCAAATATCACACGGAATTTTTAATCATAGTTAATTCCTACTTAAAAATAATATCTGACAAATAATCTAAAAGAAGTGCGGAACTTGATGTCTAAAGAAAACTTTTAGCTATTATTTATTTAAATCGTATATTTATATTATGGATACAGGATTAAATTTACTAATTACAGAAAATAAATTATTTTAATTAAATTAATTATAGTAAAATACAACACTAAAACAATATTAAATCTAATATTATTATTATGTAATGCAATAACTTGATGAAAAAATGTTGTGATATTGAGATAGTTTATTTAAGACTTGTAGATCATGAGATTCTTCTGATGGTAAAAAAATCATTTAAATATCCGTTGCGCAATTTTTATTTAAGTCCCAAATCTGGTAAATAATAATTAAGAGCAGTATCAAGATTTAAAGAATATAATATGAAAATGATTGCCAATTTCGATATACCTACCCTAAATATTCCTCAGAATTGTATTCAATATGCGAGATGCGAATAGAAATTAGAATAAAAAATTGAAGGAAGCCAATTTAAACGAACTTTTTTATTTAAGAATCCTCAATATAAAACAAGTTTTTGTTAACTCAGGTACTAGTAGGGAATGAATATAACTGTCCCAGTTCAAGTTTTTTTTGTAATTGGATGCCTAGAAATTTAGAGACAAAAGAAAATTTAAATTAGATATTTTTGATAGTTAAAGAATTGATCTCATTACTTATTCTTTATACTGTTTGAAATACTGCCCTTAAATAATTCAGTTGCTATTTTTATATTACCTCTGTTTATTAACTTCCCGTAGGGCAAGTTATAGTAATCGCAAAAAAATCGAAAATCAAAAATTTTTATATATCTTTACGTTTCAAAGGTTTCTGAACATTTTGGCATACCTTAGAAAAAATGGATTTATGTGTGTGCGTGTGTATGTGTGCTCGGATAAAAATTTTCTTTGACGATTTTGGGAACACGGATGTAGCGATTTGAATAATTCAAAAAACATTCGATTCATATTGATAAGGAGACGTGCTGATTAGTTTTTGGCGAAGGCATGTCTAGCCTTCTAATTTTTCATCTAATTTTTTCAGAGTAATTTTTTTTTCAAAAATGTTAATAATTAAAAAAAAAAAAAAAATTTTTGGTACGGGAACTTCCAGCAATTTGCCTCAAGGCACAATGCCATGCACCACTATTAATATTTCATTCGTTCTTTTTCTCGCACGCCTCTGGCCGCGTTTCGTCGCACACAGCGACAAACTTTGTATGGACTCACGTGGGAACACACCTAAGGCCCGCGCATGTCTGCGTGGCCCCCTTGCGTTCCGTACCACTGGAACTTTCATTTTAGTTTACGTTTTACCGTAGTTAGGTGCTGCAACCTGTTTTTCGGCGACGATGATTAACAAATACTTGGTTTTTCCGTGATTTTTCCCAACAACTAAAACTAATTTCGAATCAGTGTATGGTTTTGTAAAAGCTGTGCTTTATTTGTGCCTTAGGAAAGGGATAAGTGTTGAGGAAAAAGGGTGTGTACAGGATATTTCGCGTGACAGGTAAGAAGTTTGGTGTTGTTTTGTTATTGTAGTATGTGGGTTGGTGGGGGGAGGTATACAAATGTTTGTGATGTGGGGACTTTAAACTTAATAACGGAGTTTATTTTTTTTATTATTATAAACTAGTACCAGCCATATACCAGTATTTAAACTTCAATCAAATACAAA